GCAATGGCTGTCCTTTGATGTCTCTGGCAAGGCAACCCCTGTTGATGTTTACAACATCCTTGCAGCTGATGTGACGCTGCCTCTGGAAGGTGATTTCTCTTTTTCAAGCACACTGAATCTGCCGATGGATGGCGGTGTCACACAGCTTCTGGTGACGAGCGATCTGCAGGGTTTAGGCGTTGGTTTGCCCGCTGAATTTGGCAAGTTAGCACAGGACATTGCACCCATTGATATCGATGTGCAGTTCCTGGCGGAATACCAGAGTGTCAGTTTGCGATACAAAACCGTGGATGGCTGGTTCCACTATGGTGATGCCATTGAACGAGGCGCAATTGGTATTAATGCTGACCCGCCAATGACAGCGGTGGATCAACGCGCCATAGCGATTTCAGGGGTTATGCCTCGTTTGATGTTGAGTGACTGGGTGTCTACCGAAGGAGACTCCGCCGTGGTGCTGCCACTGGATTGGTCTATCTCAAAGCTTACGGTGCAGGAATTTTTCATCGATGAAATGATGTTTGCTGATGTCTTACTGGATGGGCAGCAGCAGGGCAATGAAGTTTCTTTTGCCTTTAATGCGCCCGCGGTGCGCGGCAAACTGAATCTGCCCGCTGGGGATGTTTTGAATCTGGATTTGGAGTTCCTGCAGATTCCGCAGGCGAATATACAAACGGCTGAACACATCGGTGCACCTCAGGTTGATCCGATAAGTGTCGCTGTTGGTGAAGTTTTGCCAGAGGCCAAGATTAACATTGCTCAATTGATGCTCGGTGACGAGCCGTTTGGGCGCTGGCAATTTGAAATCCAGCCTCAGGCTGGGGAGCGCGTTGAATTTCTCAATCTGGACGCCTCGGTCAACGGGGTTCACATTGAAAATGGTGCGCTCAGTTGGGATCTGCAAACGGATCGATCAGTTTTCACCGGTAAGCTGAAACTCGATGATCTGGCACAGACGTTACCTAAGTGGGACTACGCGCCCAGTCTGAGTACAACTACAGCTGCGGCCAGAGCAGATGTTTCGTGGTCAGGCTCTCCACTGAACGTCAGCCTGCTGGGGACTGATGGTGAGATTGAATTTGACGCGCGTGACGGTCGTTTTATGGAAGTGGAAGGCGGTTCTGGTGGATTACGGATTCTGAGCCTGCTGAATTTTACGCAGTTGGCGAAACGTATCAGTCTGGATTTTTCAGATGTCGTGGGCGAGGGCATGAGCTTCGATCGAATAGATGCCACCGTCGGCCTGCAGGGGGGCGAACTGACATTTCCCAAGCGCTTAACGGTTGAGAGTTCCTCGGGTGATTTTCAACTTGGAGGCCGTGTTGACTTAGCCAGCGGGCAACTGAACAATGAGTTGATCGTGACTTTGCCAGTCAGCAAAAGCATCCCCTGGTACGGTCTTTACCTGGGGCTGGCAAACCCAATTGTTGGCGCCACGGTGGTACTCGGCGAGCGCATGTTACGTAAGCCCATTGAACAATTCAGCACTGCGAAGTTTGAAGTCACGGGTACCCTTGATGATCCCGAAGTGAAATTCGTCAGCCTGTGGGATCGTTCAATGAAACAGCCACAGAGCAAAGAACAGGCGCAGCAGCCTGATAAATCAGAATAAATAAGAGAAACCTAACCATGCAAGATGTAGTTGAGCAGGCTTCACAAAATATCCTCGGCCACAGCGATATCAGCCAACAGGATATCGAACGGACGCTGGAAGATATGATGGGTAACCGCATCGATTATGCAGAAGTTTATCTGCAGAGCGTGCGATCTGAATCCTGGGGTCTTGAAGACGGCATTGTCAAAGATGGCAGCTTCAGTGTTGATGCGGGCATTGGCGTGCGCGCGTTGAGTGGCGAGAAAACAGGTTTTGCCTATGCGGAAGACATCCTGCGTGATGGCCTTAATAGCGCGGCGAGCGCTGCAAAATCTATTGCTGACAAAGGCACCCCACGTGCCGCCCCTGCTTTTCAATCGCCAACGGCCAGCGCGCTGTACCCTGGTGCAGATCCTATCAGCCTGTTAGATGAAGTTGCAAAAGTGCAACTGTTACAACGGATCGATCGAGCGGCGCGTGCGGCGGATCCGCGCATCAAAGAGGTTAATGTGCGGATTTCAGCCAACCATGACGTGATGCTGGTGATGGCGAGCGACGGTACCCTGGGTGCTGATTTACGCCCTCTTGTCAGGCTTGATGTCTCCGTGATCGCCGAGGCAGGGGGGCGACGCGAAAGGGGTAATGCTGGTGGCGGTGGACGCCGTGGACTGGATGAGCTGCAGCAGGGTAGCTGGGCGGAAGATCTGGCTGCTGAGGCAGTGCGGATGGCAATGGTTAATCTTGATGCGCGAGATGCCCCCGCGGGACCGATGCAGGTGGTGCTTGGACCGGGTTGGCCCGGTGTTTTACTGCATGAAGCTGTGGGCCACGGTCTGGAAGGTGATTTCAATCGTAAAGGCAGTTCGACTTTCGCTAACCGCGTGGGTCAACAGGTAGCATCCACGTTATGCACAGTGGTTGATGATGGCACCATGGCGGGCCGGCGCGGCTCGCTGACGGTGGATGACGAAGGCACCCCGACGCAATCTACTGTATTGATAGAGAACGGTATTTTGCGCGGGTATATGCAGGACAAATTGAATGCCCGGTTAATGAACGTAGCTTCTACCGGCAACGGTCGGCGTCAGTCTTATGCCCACCTGCCGATGCCACGTATGACCAATACCTTTATGCAACCCGGAGACCATGATCCTGCTGAAATCATTGCCTCTGTAGACAAGGGCGTCTATGCAGTGAATTTTGGTGGTGGGTCAGTTGATATCACGTCCGGGCGTTTTGTGTTTTCTGCAACCGAAGCTTACTTGATCGAAAACGGCAAGGTAACGGCTCCGATTCGTGGTGCGACGTTGATTGGCAATGGGCCCGATGTGATGAACAAAGTATCTATGGTGGGTAACGATTTAAAACTCGATACCGGTGTAGGCGTGTGCGGTAAAGATGGCCAGTCGGTGCCGGTAGGCGTTGGCCAGCCGACGTTGAAAGTTGATGAGATCGTGGTGGGCGGCACCCAGGCGTAAAACTACGCTGACAACTCGCTGGTTTCCCTTAAAAAGCGGAACAGTCTGCGCGAGGCAGCCTTCTGTTCGGGTTCATTACGCGCGCTGTGTACTTTCTTGACCAGCTGGCGCAGTTGTTGGCGATCAACCTGTGGGTATGTCGCGATGAAGTCCGTTAAGCTGGCAGGTTCTGCAAGCAAGACTTCGCGCCACTGCTCAAGTTGGTTGAACTGATATTGCGCTTCGGCAGATTTCCCGTCCAGATCTGCAAGATGGGCTTCGATGGCGCTAGTGTCTACTTTGCGCATCAGTTTGCCGACAAATTGGAGCTGACGTTTTTTTGCGCCATGACTGGTAAACCGCTGGTACTCCTCAATCGCATGCGCCAGTTGTGGGGGCAGATTGAGCGAGGCAAACTGTTCGGCATTGAGCTGGCCAAGGCGGCGGCCCAGTTCCAACAGACGTTGCGCTTCCCGCTTGCGGGCGGTTTTGGAAGGCAGTTCCTCTGTGGATTCCGAGGGGTTGTCGTTTTGATTTATTTCGTCAGACACGGCGATGGTTACAATTTAGCTTAGGATATGTGGTGGATTTAAGAGAACAAGAACACAAGCTTACAGCGTTAGTGCAGGATATTCTGACCGAAGCACGACAACAAGGCGCTGATCAGGCAGAAGTCTCAGTAAGTGTCGATTCCGGGTTGTCCGTCAGCGTGCGCAAAGGCGAACTGGAGAATGTGGAATTCAACCAGGACCGGGGTTTCGGAATTACCCTCTATTACGGTCAACGCAAGGGTTCAGCCAGTACAACGGACAGCAGCGAACGCGCAATAGCGGACACTGTTGCCGCAGCTAAAAACATCGCTTCTCATACTGAAGACGACCCCTGTAACGGTCTGGCCGATGCAGACCTGTCGCCGACAACATTGCCGGATCTGGACCTGTTCCATCCCTGGGAGGTACAACCGCAGCAGGCTGCAGAGCTGGCAAAAGCGTGTGAGGCGGCTGGCCTTGCAGTAGATGCCCGCTTGTCGAATTCTGACGGCGCGCAGGTGAATACCCAGCAGTCGCTGCGCCTTTATGGCAACAGCCATGGCTTTATCGGTGCGTATGCCGGCACCCGCCACGGCTTGAGTTGTGTTGTGATCGGTGAAGATGAGAATGGGATGCAGCGGGATTACTGGTATACGGTGGCGCGAAACGCGACCGAGCTTGATTCTGCTGAAACGGTAGGTCGTCTGGCGGGTGAGCGTACCGTGGCGCGCTTGTCTCCACAAAATGCGCCCACCGGCAGCTACCCGGTGATGTTTGCACCCAATATGGCAGGTGGCCTGTTCGGGCATTTAATTGGCGCGATCAGCGGTGGTGCTTTGTATCGACGGGCATCTTTCCTGCTCGACTCAATGGGCCAGCAGGTATTGCCTGACTGGTTGTCGCTTACCGAACGGCCGCATTTACTCAACAGTCTTGGTAGTGCAAATTTTGATGGGGATGGAGTGGCTACCCGCAGTAAAAGCTTTGTTGCTGACGGCTGCGTATCGAGCTACGTCTTATCCTGTTACTCGGCACGCAAACTGAAACTGGCACCTACCGGCAACGCCGGAGGCGTGTATAACCTGGATGTGGATGGTCCGCAGACACCGCTGGCTGATCTGCTCAAGCAGATGGGTACAGGGCTGTTGGTCACGGAGCTTATGGGTCAGGGTATCAATGGTGTGACGGGCGATTATTCACGCGGCGCCGCTGGCTTCTGGGTGGAAAACGGCGAGATTACCTACCCGGTTGCCGAGGTGACCATTGCCGGCAACTTAAAAGATATCTATCGCGCCATCGTCGGCATTGGCGACGATGTTGATTATCGTGGCAATGTGCGCGCTCCCAGCGTCCTGATTGAATCGATGACGATAGCTGGCTCAGCCTGACACTGTTCTGAAAAGTGCAGCTTGATGGGGTCTGCTAAGCGTAGACCCAGGTTGCCAGCCCCAGAAACACAAAAAAACCGGTGACGTCGGTAATCGTGGTCAGCACCACGCCACCAGCGATGGCGGGGTCAATTTTCAAATAACGTAAGATGCCGGGTAACAGACTGCCGGATACGGCTGCAACGACCATTGTAATGATCAACGCGACTGCAATAACCAGTCCCAGCTCGAGATCATTAAAGGCCACAGCAGCGGTGACGGCCACCAGGCTTGCCCACAACAAACCGTTCAATACAGCCACCACAAATTCTCTGTTCAGCAGCCATAAAAGGTTGCTGCGGCTCAGGTGGCCCAAGGCTTCGCCGCGAATCACCAGTGTCAGGGTTTGAGTGCCGGCAATTCCGCCCATGCTGGCCACGATAGGCATGAGTACGGCAAGGGCAACCACCTTCACGATAGTTTCCTCGAACAAGTTGATGACTGCGGCGGCGATAAAGGCGGTGATCAGATTGATGCCGAGCCAGATGGCACGGCGCCGCAGGGATTTACCAATGGGCGCAAAAGTATCTTCATCGATATCCAGGCCGGCTCTGGCCAACACAGCCTCATCGGCGTCTTCGATGATGACGTCAACCACGTCGTCAATCGTTATTCGGCCAAGCAAGCGTCCTTCTGCGTCTATGACTGGCGCTGAGATCAAGTCCTGTTCGGAGAATATTTTCGCAACTTCGGTGTCGAGGGTGTCGACGTCAATCGCCGTCGCTGCGCTGTTCATCACTTCGCGTACGGTGACTGTTGGATCTGAAGTTAACAGTTTGCCAAACGGTAACATGCCTACGTATTCGTCCCGGGAGTTCACCACGATAAGCGCGTCGGTGGCTTCGGGTAGATCTTTGCGCATGCGCAGATAACGGAACACCAACTCCAGCGCGTGTCTTGGCCGCACCGTGATAGTGTCGGTGTTCATCAGGCCGCCAGCGCTGTCTTCTGCGTAGGACAACACGGCTTCAACTCTGGCGCGGTCGATGGCGTCCAGAGATTCAAGCACCTGATCGGTGATGGTCTGCGGTAGTTGCTGCAGGATGTCTGCAAAATCATCGGTATCGAGTTCGTCCGCCACCGCCACCAGTTGGGCGGTATCCATATCAACGAGAAACTCTGCGCGCATATCTTCAGACAGATGTTGCAGTGTCTGATTGCGTACCTCTTCGTCTAACAGTTCCCATAAAACCTGGCGAACCTTAGGCGTTTTTGAGGCGAGCAGGTTACTCACTTCTGCCGGACGCAGAGAGCTCAGTAAGATTCGGGTTTCTTCGGCGCTGCCAAATTCAGTGCTGGGTGGAGGCGCACTGCTGAGTTCAACATTGGGTTCGTTGTCTGCTGGCATATCAGGGTCGACTAAGTGGGGTCATCCAACTCGTGGAATCCAGCCTGCACCAGATTACTCAAGCCATCAGTTGCAGCGTCTTCATCTTCACCTTCGACGATCAGCTCAAGCGCGCTGCCTACGGGTGCGCCCAGCAACAGCAGACTCATGATGCTTTTGCCGTCTACAGCTTTGCCTTCCTTAACCAGGGTGATTTTGCTGCCATAGCCTTTTGCAGTGTCGACAAATTTTGACGCCGCACGTGCATGTAAGCCCAGGGGATTAATGAGGGTTAACTGTGTTGTGCGCATAGCCCGGTCACACTATCAAATAGGTGTTGGAGTGTAGCGATCACCGCGCTTGAAGCAACTGACATTTCTTTGTGCTAAGGGTGCAAAAGTTACTTTTGCAGTTCGCGATGACGAATCAAAACGTTATTGATGCTCTGTTTAAAATGATTGCCAAGCCGTTCGCTTAAATACACGCTGCGATGCTGTCCGCCAGTGCAGCCTAACGCTACTGTCATGTAGACTCGGGCATTGGCTTCAAATCTGGGAATCCAGGTATCAAGGTATTGGGCGATGTCCTCGAACATCTCGGTAACCATGGGTTCCGCCTGAAGATAGTTAGCGACCGCGGGGTCCCGGCCGGTCAGAGGGCGCAGGTTCTCTACCCAGTGAGGGTTGGGCAGACAGCGCAGATCAAAAACCATGTCTGCATCTACGGGCACCCCATATTTAAACCCGAATGATCTGAACAACAAGCTGAGCTCGCGACTGCTGCGGGCAACCACCCGGCTGCTGACCAGTTCGCGCAATGCCTGGCTGGACAGCTGCGTGCTGTCGATATTGAGATCTGCAAGGTCAGCAATGCTTTCCAGGACTTCCGCTTCTGCATCAATAGCCTGGCGCAAGTCGGTGTTTGCGTTGGTTAAGGGGTGTCGGCGTCGTGTTTCACTGAAGCGTTTAACCAGCGTTGGGCTGCGTGCATCGAGGTATATAACCTCGCAATCTACATCCATACGATCAATCGAAAGCAGAATCTCAGGAAAGCGTTCGAGGTCTCGACTGCGGGCGTCGATACAAACGGCTAAAGGTATATTTTTTTGGGTTTTATCCCGCAGCGTGTTGTGTACCAGTGACTGCAGCAACATGACCGGAAAATTGTCGATGCAATTGAACCCGGCGTCTTCCAGGGCGTTGAGTACAGTGGATTTGCCGGAGCCTGAACGGCCACTGATGATGATAAGTTTCACGCTGTTTTGGTATCGGGTACCTGATTTGCGAGGCAAGTCCGCATTTGTTGTAGCAACGCAGCATCTGTTGTACAGGCACGCAGGTCGCTGCGGTTCTGCGCATTAGAAAAAACTTCAGCCAACTGAGCGAGTGCGTGCAAATGCGCATGTTGTTCGTCTTCCGGCACAACCAGTACAAACAGCAGATCGACGCCCTCACCATCGCCGGCTTCGTAATCGATCGGGTTAGCCAACGAAATAAAACCGACGCGCATGGTGTCACAATCGCTGCGGCAATGTGGAATTGCGATACCATCGCCAAGTCCGGTGCTGCCGAGTCTTTCACGTGCCATCAGGCTGTCGAACAAAGTGTCCGCCGGCACTGCTGAGTCACTGATCAACTCCGCTGCGAGCTGTAACACTCGTTTTCGACTGCTTGCGTTAACATGGCAGTGAACGTTGCTTGCGTTGATTAACGCGCTGATATCGGACATCTAATTTAAAGTTGCTCGTGGTGCGAGCTGCGGTCATGACTGCCTTTATGGTGGGCAGTGGTTTTTTCTTTGTGTTTGATTACCTGGCGATCGAGCTTGTCCACCAGCTGATCAATAGCAGCATACATGTCTTCTGAGTCCGCATTGGCAAACAACTCAGCGCCGGGAACATGGGCGGTGGCTTCCGCCTGTTGCAGGTGTTTTTCAACGTTCAGAACGACATGAACCTGAGTGATCTGGTCGTTATGTCGGTTGAGCTTCTCAAATTTCGATTCCACATAGGAGTGTAAAGATTCGGTAAGGTCGACGTGATGTCCGGTAATGCTCAGCTGCATGATGACTCCTTGTGAAAACTCAGCTTATGGTCAGCGTAAGAAAAATAAGCGAGTTTGTATATCGGTGATTGTGTCTAATGCGCCCGGTGCACAGGCTCAGACCAGTTGCTTACGCTCATTTGAGGGTGGTATCGACATCGATTCACGATATTTTGCCACTGTGCGTCTGGCAACGTTGATGTTCTGGTCTTTCAGTATTGCCGCTATTTTACTATCGCTCAATGGTTTTTTCGGGTCCTCATCGCCGGTGAGTTTCTCAATCAACGCACGGATGGCTGTGCTGGAGACTTCGCCGCCGCTGCTGGTGCCTACGTGAGAGGAAAAGAAATATTTCAGCTCGTATACGCCACGTGGCGTGGACATGTATTTGCGGCTGGTCACCCTTGAAATTGTTGACTCGTGCAGGTCAACGGCTTCCGCGATATCTGCAAGAATAAGCGGCTTCATGGCTTCCGCACCGTACTCGAGGAAGCCGCGCTGAACTTCGACAATCTTGCTGGCGACCCGCAGCAGAGTATCGTGACGGGTTTGCAGGCTTTTCAAAAACCAGCGTGCCTCCTGCAGGTTGTCACGGATATAGGTTTTGTCGTTACTGCTGGCGACCTGCTTGGCGAGATTTTCATAGACCGGATTGATACGAATTTGTGGCGTCGCCTCGCCGTTTAACTCTACCAGCCAGCGACCTTCAAATTTTCTCACGACCACATCCGGCACAATATAGTCCGCGCTCTCTTCTGCAATTGCAGTACCCGGACGTGGATTCAACGTACGGATTAAGGTCATCGCTGCTGCGAGCTCACTGTCGGCCAGTCGGGACTTTCGTTTTAACGTTGTGAAATCTTTGCTGCCCAGCAGATCGAGATATTCGGTGATCAGCAGATTGGCTTCGGTCAGCCAGGGTGTCTGCGCGGGAAGCTGGGCAAGCTGCAGCAGCAGGCACTCCTTGAGGTCTCGGGCGCCAACACCGACAGGGTCGAAATCCTGAATGCGCTCTAGAACGGCGCACACGTCATCATGTTCAATCTCGTCCTGGTCTGTTTCACGCTGGCTGTTTAACGCCTCGCAAAGATCTTGCGTAGTGGTGGTCAACATGCCATTGGCATCGATGGAATCGATTATTGCTGCGGCGATGGTTCGATCTGAGGCCGCCATCGGCGTGAGATTAAGCTGCCAGAGCAAATGGTCGGTAAGCGTCTGATCTGCGCTGCGGTTGGCCATTGGATCATAGTCGCTATCGCTTGCCGGCAGGCTGCTGCCGGTTGGATATACATCCTCCCAACTTGAGTCCACGGGCATCTCTTCGCCTATGGGTGCATCAAACTCCTGATTGACGTCGGCGACATCTCTTTCCGCCCCAACGGTGGTGTCCATCGCGTTGTCGGATGCAATCTGAGACTCATGTTCTGCCGACTCGAGGGTTGATTCCAGGGACTGGTCATTGTCGTTGGTTTCGCCGCCGTCCTGGGCGTCTTCGGACAGCTCCAGCATTGGATTTTCTTCCAACGTATTCTGGATTTCCTGCTGCAGGTCCAGCGCGGACAGCTGCAACAAGCGGATAGCCTGTTGCAGTTGTGGCGTCATGGTGAGCTGCTGACCCAGCTTCAGGGAAAGTGTCTGTTTCATCCAATCCTTCGGAATGAGTAAATTTCTTTATTCTCGTCCAGGGTTTTTGTCTTTTAGCTCAAGGCTGTTCTGTTTCAGCTCAAGGCTGTTTTATCTTCGCTCAAGGCTGTTTGAGTCTAGCCTAAGGCAAATGTTAAAAACCGTGCCAATTTAACACGGCATTAATCTAGATAGCTCTTTTTTTGATTCTTTGGTGCTGCGAAAATCGTAATTTAGGCCGTTGAGGCGGGGCTAGATGGAAAATCCTTCACCCAGATAGACATCGCGTACCGTCTGATTGGCCAGGATGCTGGCCGCATCACCGTCTGCAATGATATGTCCCTGGTGGACGATGTATGCGCGGTCGCAGATATCCAGGGTTTCTTTGACGTTGTGATCTGTGATCAGCACGCCGATACCCCGCCGCCGAAGATCACTGATTTCCTTTTTAATATCACCTACTGAGATTGGGTCTACACCGGCAAAGGGCTCATCCAGCAGCATAAAACGGGGTTCACTGGCCAGTGCTCGGGCTATCTCCAGGCGACGGCGCTCGCCGCCAGACAGGCTTTGCCCCAGGGATGTCGCAACACCCTGTAGATTAAATTCATTCAGCAGTTGCTCGAGCAGAGTATTGCGCTCAGTGCGATTCAGATCTTTGCGCAGTTCTAAAATTGCGCGAATATTGTCCGTGGTGCTGAGCGTGCGAAAAACGCTGGCTTCCTGTGGCAGGTAACCGATGCCTGCTTTGGCGCGTTCGTGAACGGGCGCACGGGTCAGGTCGGTTTCGTTCAGAAATATACCCCCACTATCGGCTTTGATGAGCCCAACCACCATATAAAAACAGGTGGTTTTGCCCGCACCATTCGGCCCCAGGAGACCCACTATTTCTCCACTGGCGACACGGATGGAAACATCTTCCACAGCGATTTTTGTGCGGTACTCTTTACGCAGACCGTCAGCACGCAGAATGGCGGAAAGGGGTATTTGGCTCAAAACTTAAGCGTCGCAGTCAGTGGAATTATTGATTAGCAGGGCGGGTGGCAGGTTGTACTGTCATTTTCACGCGCCCGGAGTTTTCTCCGGCACTCGCATCAACTTTGCCTTTAACAATGTCGTAACGTATCGATTCACCCTGTAGCTCGTTGCCCTGTTGTGCGAGCGTGGCGCTGCCATTGAGATATACGCGCTCTTGCGCGGTATGGTAGATGATACTGTCTGCGTGGGCGTTCACTTCGCCTTTGTCGTCTTCCAGCTGTTGCCGATAGCGGGCTGGGGAGCCTACAGTGGTGATTTGCTGGACCTGATCACCGCTGATTTTAACCACCATTTTGTCGCCCTGCACACGCAAGGTACCCTGCACCACTTCAACCGAGCCAATGTAGGTTATGGTTTCATTAGCCTGATCAATCTGGGCGTCATCACCTTCAATATGTATAGGCTGGTCTGCGTCTGATGCCAGACCCCAGACGACAGGTGTGATGAGCAGTCCCGCGCATAACATAACGGTCTGCCACAGCCTGTTGGCCACCGCGGGTCTAACCTGCCGATTTTTTGAATTGTTCTGGTAAAACAATGGTGTGTACTCGCTGGGTTTCATTCGACATTAGTTTCAGTAAACCTGTATCCAGATAAGCCTGCATGCCTGCTGCGCGGGTGCGGCCAACCTGGGTATCGATCATAACACCTTGGTCGGTTTCAGCGTATTGCCGGTCCGGATAGAAGTACATGGCTTCGCTGCGCATGGTGATAAATCCGCGCTCGGGGTCATTCTGTTCCAGCACCACTTCTTCACGCAGGTAAACAGCTTCTTCTTTGTTTTCTCCGCCAGTCTCTGCACCTCGAATGTAACCGTGGTTAGAGCGAATATCCCATGGTGGCTGTTGCGGGTTGTGCAGTTTCAGCGCAGGGCTGACCATGCTGGTCAGGTTGTTATCCTGGAACTGACGGATGGCGCTGGCGGTGAGTTGATATTGCAGGCTGCCATCGTCTCGCAACTGGGTGAAGGTAACGCCGTGACCGTATATATCTGGCTCACTCTCTATCAGAGTATCTGCTGGGCTTGCGCCGTCTGCGCGGTCCTGGTCGCTTTGACCAAATAACTGCCACAATAATCCCAGCACCAGAACAACGCCGAGGGTGATGCCAGTCCTGCGCCACATACTAGAAAGGCCAGGCGCCCTGTGCCTTAAGCAGTAACTCGGCAATCTCTACTGCCACGCCATTGCCACCACTGCGTTGAGTGATCCATTGCGCTTGACTGCGGGCGACGGGATGGCCGTTCGGCACGCTGATTGCGAAGGCGACACTGGGGTGGTCAAACACGCCAATATCCTGAATGTCGTCTCCCACTGCGGCATTGCCCGCACCAGGAAAGCCTTGTGCGATGAGCGTATCTACAGCCTCGGCTTTGGAGTCAGCACCCTGGACCAGATATTTAATGTCTAATTCCCTGGCGCGACGCGCAACGGTTGGCGAACGGCGTCCGGTAATAATCCCCACCGTGATGTTGTTCTGTTGCAGGAGTTTGATGCTGGCGCCGTCCTGGACATGAAATGTTTTGTATTCATGTCCATCGTCACTGTACGTGATCTGGCCGTTGGTGAGCACGCCATCAACATCAAAAATAATACCTCGTACGTTGCTGGCGAGTTGGGTTAAAGCGGGATTGAGGTCCATGCGTTAGGCCTGCTGTACCAGTAGAAGGTTGTAGCCGACCCACGCCGCAAGCATCACCATGCCTTCAAATCGAGTGATCACAGGGCGCGAATTGATGCCGTAAGCAAACAGCGCCAGCATCACGGTCAGTGCGAGCATCATGCCGCCGTCCCGCCACAACGCGCCAGGTTCGATTACTGCCCCGCTGACCAGGCCCGGGACGGCCAGCACCGCCAGAATATTAAGGATGTTTGAGCCGACGACGTTGCCTATAGCGATGTCAGGGTGACCTTTGACGGCTGAACCAATGGTCGCGGCGAGCTCCGGCAGACTCGTACCCACAGCAACGATGGTTAAACCGATGATCATGTCGCTGACGCCCAGAAGCTTGGCGATGGTGGTGGCAGAATGCACCAGCACCTGCGCAGACACCAGGAGCACCAGCAGGCCGACCACCAGCCAGGCGATGGCCTGCAGATTAGTCATGTCCGGTAGCTCGTCGAGCTCTTCGGTAATGGAGGAAGAAATTTCCTGGTTGGGATTGTTTTGATTGACAACCAGTCGCCAGAGGATGGCGGCCAGAGCCAGCAACAACATTACCCCGTCGAAGAAAGACAGTTCCCGATCGAACAGTAGCACCATCGCCAGCAGGGTGGCGCCCAGCAACCATGGTAATTCGGTTTGTCGGACCTGCTTGGAAAAAGGTAGCGGTGCAATCATGGCAGTAATGCCAAGGACCAGGCCGATATTGGCGATGTTAGAGCCGATGGCGTTGCCCACCGCAAGCAATGGATTGCCGTCAATAGCAGCGAATATGGCAACCAGGATTTCAGGTGCCGACGTGCCGACAGACACCACGGTCAAACCTATGAGCATCTTGGATACACCCATGTTGCGGGCGCAGGCAGCCGCACCAGACAGAAAACGGTCGGCGCTCCAGACGAGGGCAATGAAGCCTAGGATCAGTAGTAGAAGGGGAACCCACATAGGTTTGCGATGGTCTGATTGCAACAGTAAATGATCAAGGTACCGCACTTTAGTCGTATCGCGGCCTGGTTCCAACAACTGTTACGTATGCTGCTCTGTTTCTATCTCGCTGAATAATCAATATTTGGTCTGACCAAATTGGGTAGATTTGGTAGAAACGGTCTTAAGGGTTCGTTCAGTTGCAGTGTTATAATCTCGCGCCGCCGGGTTGGGCCTGGGAATTGAGGTACCTGGGAATTGAGGTAATTGTTTGTAGCCGCCTGTTAGCGGGTGTGGGTCATGACAGTGGAATGTGTGAAGGAATGATGGACAATCTGATTGAAATCAAAAATCTGACGTTTTTTCGTGGCGAGCGCATGATTTTCGACAACATGTCCCTGGATGTGCCCCGCGGTAAAGTGACTGCGATTATGGGACCAAGCGGCACGGGTAAAACCACATTGCTGCGCATCATTGGCGGCCAGTTGAAACCTGATGATGGGGTGGTGCTGGTCAATGGTAAAGACCTCTGTCAGATGAGCCGTGATGAACTGTTGGCGTTTCGTCGTAATCTCGGCATGTTGTTTCAGAGTTCAGCGTTGTTCACTGACTTGTCAGTTTTTGAGAACGTGGCGTTTCCCATGCGCGTTCACACGAACTTATCGGAAGAATTGATTCGTGATCTGGTGTTGATGAAACTTAACGCCGTAGGTTTGCGGGGTGCACGAGATCTTGCGCCATCAGAGTTGTCCGGTGGTATGGCCAGACGCGTCGCGCTGGCGCGAGCCATCGCTCTGGACCCGGACCTGATGATGTACGACGAACCGTTTACCGGTCAGGACCCCATAGCCATGGGTATGCTGGTCGATTTGATTCGCCAGCTAAACGTGGCGTTAGGTATTACCAGTTTGCTGGTTTCCCACGACATACACGAAACAGTCAGTATTGCCGACCAGATCTACATTATCGCGGAAGGTAAAGTTATTGGTGCGGGTTCGCCCGAAGAATTGAGGGACGGCTCGACGCCAATGGTGAAACAGTTCATGCATGGGGATAAAGAAGGTCCGGTTCCATTTCACTATCCTGCTGATGATCTTGCATTTGATCTGCTAGGTGAAGGTTAAGCTGTGACTGATCTGCTCCGTTCCTTAGGTGTGCGCTTTCTGGATTTTCTCAGTTCGTTGGGCCGTGCCAGTATTTTGTGGTTTCGCGCAATGGCGGGTCTGCCGAGGTGGGGCGACGTCGCCCTGGTAGTCAAACAGATCTACAATGTCGGCTTCATGTCGCTGATCATCATTGTGCTTTCAGCCTTTTCTATCGGCGCGGTTCTGTCTCTGCAGTTTTATACGCAACTCGCTCGCTTTGGGGCGCAGGATGCAACTGGGGTGGGCTTAGCTCTGGTGTTGCTTCGTGAGCTGGGTCCGGTGGTCACCGCACTACTTTTTGCGGGTCGCGCAGGCTCGGCCTTAACCGCAGAAATCGGTTTGATGAAAACCACTGAACAGCTGTCCATTATGGAGATGATGGGCGTTGATCCGCTGCGACGCATCGTTGCGCCTCGGATATGGGCGGGATTATTAAGTTTGCCGCTGCTGACCGCCATTTTCAGTATGGTTGCCGTTTATGGTGGGGTTGTGGTTGCAGTTAACTGGTTAGGCGCCGACCCAGGAGGCTTCTGGTCTGGCATGCAGGACGGCGTTGAGCTCTGGGAGGACCTTGGAAAAGGTATGGTAAAAAGTCTGGTTTTTGCTTTGCTGGTGACCTGGGTAGCAGTGTTTCAGGGTTATGATGCGCCGCCCACGGCGGAAGGCATGTCCATGGCCACCACGCAAACGGTTGTGATTTCGTCGGTACTGGTACTGGCGACGGATTTTCTTTTAACCCTGGTATTTTACGGAGACTTCTAATGCGCATGAGAACCATTGAAATCAGTGTTGGTGGCTTTGTGCTTGCTGGGGTGATCGGGCTCGTGTTTTTAGCCGTTCAAGTTAGTGGTGTTGGAGAGTTGGGTGAGCGAGACAGCTATATGATTCAGGCCCGATTTGATGACGTAGCCGGGCTGCGTCAAAGGGCAAGGGTCAGTATGGCGGGTGTGACCGTGGGTCGGGTGAAAGAAATTGATGTGGATATGCAGTGGGGTGATGCCATTGTCACCCTGGAAATCATGGGTGAGCCGGGCAACCTCACCATCGACACCGGCGCAAAAATTCTGACCGATGGTGTTGTCGGAGCGCGCTATATAGGTTTGCTGCCAGGTTCGGACGAAGAAACACTGGGTCCGGGGGATGAAATCACAGAAACCCAGGGTGCACTTGTGCTGGAGAATCTGATCGGTGAATTTTTGACTAATATTGGAAAGTAATCATGATTAAACAGATCGCGCTTGTAGTTTTGTTGTTGGGTTTGTCGGTTTCAATCCCAGCGCAACAGGTAGAAACAGAAGCTATGTCGACACAGGCAGATGCCGGCTTGCTGGCCATTACCCAAGCGCTTGCCTCAGAAACTGCGGAGCAGGCAGTGGAGCTTGCAACGGTTGAGGTATTGGCTTTTGTTGAACGAGGGCGGGACTACGCGGAAGAGGATGCCGAACGGTTCTATAAAGAAGGCGAAGCATTATTGCGCCCGATGATCGATTTCAAACGATTTTCCCGCAACGTGATGGGCCCTTATGCGCGCAAAGCCACCGCGGAACAATTGGAAACGTTTTCCGAATCGTTTAAGTGGAGTCTGGTCCGCACATATGCGCTGGCCATGCTTGAATTTGGCGACGGTGAGGCCACAGTCCTGCCGCCGCGTAAACCCAGCAGTAATCCTGACCTTGCCAACGTAACCCAGGAAATTAACTATGAAGGTAAAACCTATGTGGTTGTCTACCGCATGCGCAGAGGTAAAGAGGATCGTCTCTGGAGCGTCCAGAATCTGGTTGTGGAAGGGGTGAACATCGGCCTGAACTACAAATCACAATTCACTTCGGCCATGAAGGATCCAAAGTTCAATGGTGATCTGGATGCGGTTATTGCGTCCTGGAGTGAATTTGTTGAGGCTGAGCAGCCTGCTGAAAGTGCAGCGGAATAGCTGAAACGGTGCGTAAAGATGGCAGTTAATTTGTCCCCGGAATTTCAGTTGTCAGGTGATGAGGTTGACCTGAACGATGCTGAACGTCTGAAACTACTGGGGCTGGATATCATCAACAGCCAGGACGGTCCGTTCAACGTAGAATTCAGCGGCCTGGAACAGGCAAACAGCATTCTTGTTGCGCTTATGATTTGCTGGCATCGGCATGCTACGCTTGCGGGCAAGCAGATTGAATTTTCTAGCCTTTCCAAAGACTTGCAAAACATCATCGCTTTTTCCGGTTTAAACCGGGTGTTAAAAACCAGTTAAGAATTATCACCATGCAAGAAGAAATCAGAGCGCTGCTCGCTGGCGCCTTCAGCGACGCCGAAATCGACCTGAACCTGGACGGCAATCGTGCCCTGATTGAAATTGTCAGCAGCCACTTTGATGGCATGAGTCGAGTGCAGCGACAGCAGGCGGTTTATGCGGTAATTGCCGACTATATAGCCGATGGGCGTCTGCACGCAGTCACCATCAAAGCGCAAAGCCTGAAGCCCTAAAAAACTACGGATCCAAAATGGATAAACTCAGCATAACTGGTGGGCGCACGCTGCACGGACGTCTTCGTGTGTCAGGTGCTAAAAACTCCACTCTGCCCATTCTGGCCGGCACCCTCCTGACTGATGAGCCCGTGCTGGTTCGTAATGCGCCTCACCTCCACGATGTAACAACCATGATCGAGCTGCTCGGCACGCTGGGTGCGCAGGTTGTGATTGATGAGAAGTTGAATGTGGAGGTCTGTGCCAACAACCTAACTCAGCTTTGTGCGCCTTACGAGCTGGTCAAGACGATGCGTGCATCTTTCCTTGTGCTGGGCCCTCTGCTGGCAAAACATGGCCGGGCACAGGTTTCGCTGCCTGGTGGCTGTGCGATTGGTTCGCGGCCGGTAGACCAACACTTGAAAGGCCTTGAGGTATTGGGTGCTAAGGTTTCGGTATCAGATGGCTATGTCTATGCCGATGCACCGGACGGTCTAGTCGGCGCTGACGTCTATATGGACCTGGTCACTGTCGGCGGTACCGAGAACCTCATGATGGCGGCCTGCCTTGCCAGCGGAACAACGCGGCTGCAAAACGCAGCCCGAGAACCGGAAATAGTGGATCTTGGCAACTTTCTCAACACGCTGGGCGCTCGAGTTAAGGGTCATGGTACATCAACGATTGAGATACAGGGCGTTGCTAAATTACACGGTGGCGAACACCGGGTGATGGCTGATCGAGTAGAGGCTGGAACCTATCTTATTGCGGCGGCTGCAACTCGTGGCTCGATAAAACTTGTTGATGTAGAGCCTGATACCCTCGGTGCGGTGCTGGAAAAACTGCAGCAGGCAGGTGCGAGCCTGACAATTGGCGATAATTGGATTGAGCTGGATATGCAGGGTAAACGCCCGCTTGCGGTAGACATCGAGACCACGCCTTATCCTGGTTTTCCAACGGACATGCAGGCACAGTTCATGGCGCTGAATGCTGTTGCGCAAGGGACGTCAGCGATTCGAGAAAATATATTTGAAAATCGCTTCATGCACGTGCAGGAAATGAATCGGCTTGGCGCTGACATTGAACTGCACGGCCACTCGATGGCTGTGGTTCATGGCACCGATAAGTTGCGCGCCGCGCCGGTCATGGCGACGGATTTGCGGGCGTCTTCCAGTTTAGTGATTGCCGCTCTTGTGGCCGAAGGCACAACGATCATCGATCGGATTTATCACATCGATCGTGGCTACGAAACCATTGAAGAAAAACTACAGCAACTCGGCGGTAGTGTTCAGCGGGTCAGCTAAAAGCGCTACAAGCTGGTAGGATGCTCGCGCAAAATTTGAGGCCGTTATGGGATTAATCATTGCGCTTAATAAAGGGCGTATTTTTAAAGAATGCCTGCCACTGCTGGCGGCATGTGATATTGCGCCGGATGAAGATCCGGATGCATCACGCAAGCTCATCTTCGAAACACGCACTGGTGGGCACCAGATTATTGTCGCGCGCAGTGCAGACGTACCTACCTATGTGGAATATGGTGTTGCGGACATCGGTATCACTGGTAAAGACACTATCCTGGAATACGGTGGTGCTATGGGTTTCTATGAGATGCTTGACCTTGGCATCGGTAAATGTCGCATGATGACCGCCGGCCCAGTCGGTGTACCGGAACCTTCAGGGGTGCTCCGGGTTGCTACAAAATTCATTAACATCACCAAAGATTATTACCGCCAGCAAGGTCGGCAGGTATCGCTGATCAAATTGTCCGGGGCGATGGAAATCGCGCCGTTACTGAACCTGTCAGACACCATTGTGGACATTGTTGATACTGGAAATACGCTGGTTGCCAACGGTCTCGAAGCGCGTGCAACTATTTGTGATATCAGTACCCGCCTGATTGTTAATCGCGCCTCGATGAAAACCAAGTTTGATGAGGTGAACGCGTTGATTGGCCAGCTCGAAACCGTTGTTAATCCATGAACATTGCACGCCTGGATACAGCAGACACAGAGTTTTCGGGACAGCTGGATCTTTTACTGCAGTGGGATCTGAGCACTGAAGATGGCGTTGAACAGACTGTGAAAGACATTCTGCAGGCTATCCGTACGCAGGGTGATCAGGCGCTGTTGGCGCTGAGCAATAAATTCGATCAGCTGGCGTTTTTGAATGCCGAGCAACTTCGGGTGAGCCATGATGAGTTGCAGGCTGCCAAAGCGAGGGTGGCACCTGCGGATCTGCGCGCCCTGCAACAAGCTGCACAACGCATTGCCAGTTATCATCAACATCAGATCGAACAATCCTGGTCCTATGTTGATGATCTCGGCAATCGGCTTGGGCAGAAAATCACCCCCCTGGAACGGGTTGGTGTATATGTCCCGGGTGGTAAGGCAAGTTATCCATCGAGTGTTCTGATGACGCTGATCCCCGCAAAAGTTGCCGGTGTTGGCGAATTGATTGTTACGGTGCCGACGCCTCAGGGTGAGCGCAATGACCTGGTGCTGGCGGCGCTTGCTGAAGCGGGCGCCGATCAGGTGTTTACCGTAGGAGGGGCTCAGGCGATTGGTGCGCTTGCCTATGGTACCGATATGGTGCCAAAGGTAGACAAGATTGTTGGGCCGGGAAACGCGTATGTAGCGGAGGCTAAACGGCAGGTGTTTGGGCATGTCGGTATTGATGTGATTGCCGGGCCAAGCGAAGTGCTGGTCATCGCTGACGGGTCGACCGACCCACAATGGGCGGCATTGGATCTATTTTCCCAGGCTGAACACGATGCCGCTGCTCAGAGTATTCTGCTGTCGCCAGACAGTGAGTACATCGATGCAGTTGCTGCGGCTATGATGCAACTGCTACCAAAAATGCAGCGACGCGAAATAATTGCTGCCAGCTTGCAGCAGCGTGGCGCGCTGATAAAAACGGCAGATATGGATGAAGCCATTAAGTTGGCCAACCGGATTGCCCCGGAACACCTCGAGCTTCTGGTGGCTGATCCTGAACCCATGGTTGACCGCCTGACCCATGCCGGTGCCATTTTCTGTGGCGCGTATACTGCAGAAACCTTTGGAGATTATGTCGCAGGACCTTCCCATGTGTTGCCGACGTTTGGCACCGCGCGTTTTGCATCCCCGCTGGGTGTGTATGATTTTGTTAAACGCAGTTCGGTCATCCATATGTCTGCTGAGGGTGCGGCTCAGCTTGCTGATATAGCGGTGCCACTGGCTACCGGTGAAGGCTTGCAGGCGCATGCTATGGCGGCGGCTGCACGAGCGGGTAACAGCTGGTCAGACGACAGCGCTGCCAGTTAAATCGAGTCGGGTAGTTCACCTGCGATTGCGGTAGCACGGAACCGTTGTTGTTCACGCATGACTTCAATATTCAACTCGCTGCCGGGTTTCGCATTGGCGATGACATCCGTCACTGTGTACAGGTTGGTTGCCGGAATCTGGTTGATGGACAGCACATGGTCACCGGGTCGCACTCCAGCAGTAAACGCGGGGCCACCCGGATTAACGCCAATAACCAGTAAACCCGTCGGCCCGCCAGGCATGGGTTGGGGGCGTAAATTCACACCCAGCCAGCCACGGATTACACGCCCGGATTCTACAATCTGCTCCATGACTGACAGCGCAATATTGGCCGGGATCGCAAAGCCGATTCCTTCAGAGCCGCCTGACTGGGAATAGATCATCGTGTTAATGCCCAGCAGTCGTCCTTCGTGGTCGACCAGTGCGCCGCCGGAGTTACCCGGGCTGATCGCAGCATCCGTTTGAATGAAATCATCGTAGGGGCTGTTGGTGATCAGAGTGCGGGAAAAGGCGCTGATGATACCTTGCGAGACGCTGTGTCCGAGGCCGAAAGGGTTACCGATGGCCAGGGCAACGTCGCCGACCCGGGGCTGGTCGTCACCCAGTTCTGCGATGACCGGCAAGCCGCTTGCAGCCACTTTGATCACCGCCAGATCCGTATGGCTGTCGGTGCCTATGACCTGGGCGGTGGTTGTCTGGTTATTTGCAAACATGACGATAATTTCATCGGCACCCTCCACCACATGTTGATTGGTGAGAACGTAGCCGTCTGCTCGAACGATGACGCCAGAGCCCAGTGAATTCTGCAGTTGCTGCTGTCCGGGAAAGGCCTCACACAGGGCTCGATAAGCTGGAATTCGACATAGGGGGCTGCGCTGCGTAATTTTGGTTGAAAAAATGTTCACAACGGCAGGCGCTGCCCGGGAGACGGCATTGGCATAGCCGGGGCGGTCGTTGTCAGCGGTGCTGTTCAGGACAATGATGGCCAGACCTACGAGCGCGCCAATGACGGCGGGTACAAAAATGAATCTCGTTAACTGGGTCATGGCTCCTCTATCTATTGTCTTACTTAAATGCCGATACCGCGCGACCTGTATTGCGTCTGCTGGTGCCTGTCGTTAACCTGCGCCGCGCGCTGTCAAAGCGGTTTAACGTTGAGTTGAGGTATGGACACATATTCGCCGCTATCAAAATATGAAAAAGCTATAGCGAACGGGGAGTTTCAAGAAGACGCCGCCCAAGCGCAAGTTGTGCGGCTGCTTGATGAACTTTTTCATCGCCTGATGGCTAATCCACCATCGAGCCGCGCTGGTTGGTTATCCCGTTGGCGCAAGAAAACTGTCGATCCCCAGCAGGGTTTGTATGTGTGGGGTGGGGTTGGACGGGGTAAAACCATGCTGATGGATCTGTTTTACGACTGTCTGCCTCCGCAGCGGCGTATGCGGATGCACTTCCATCGATTTATGCGGCGGGTTCACCAGGGTTTGGCTCAATGGACGGGAACCTCAGATCCGTTACGTAAGGTTGCGGCGGATATCGCTGCGGAAGGCGACGTTCTCTGTTTCGATGAGTTTTTTGTTTCAGATATTGGCGACGCCATGATCCTCGCTGAGGTTCTGGATGCATTACTCGAACACGGCGTAACGCTTGTAGCGACGTCTAATGTGGAACCCAGCCATCTGTATGAGAATGGCCTGCAGCGTAGACGCTTTCTGCCTGCCATTGATCTGCTCTATGCGCATACCCGGGTGGAACATATGCCCGATGGCATAGACTTCCGCCTGCGCGCGCTGGAGCAGGCGGAAATTTATCACTTTCCGCTCGATACAGCTGCAGAGCGCGGGTTGGCTCAAAGCTTCGCAGCGCTGGCGCCGGATACCGTGGAGCCGGATGTGGATCTGCAGATTGAAGGCAGGGTGTTGCGAGCGCGTTTTGTGGCTGATGATGTCGTCTGGTTTGACTTCCCAGACCTGTGCGAAGGTCCGCGCAGCCAGAATGACTACATTGAGCTGGCGATGGTTTATCACGCTGTACTGCTCAGCAACGTACCCCAGCTTGCGGGCCACCAGGAAAGTGCGGCGCGAAGGTTCATCAGCCTGGTGGATGAGTTTTATGACCACGGTGTGAAGCTGATTATCAGCGCTGCGGTGCCTATTACAGAGTTGTACCAGGGTGAGCGGCTACGCTTCGAATTTGAGCGGACACAGAGTCGCCTGTTGGAAATGCAGTCCCATGACTACCTTGCGGGTTCGCATCGGGCTGGCGTCGCATCAGCGGGTTAGCTAAAAGGCAGTTGTAAACCCACAGTGGCTCCTCTATGATTCGCGTCCCAAAATTAGGGCCCCTGCACGCGCAGTGTTGTTTTGACACGCCAGCCAGACGCAGGCGAAATGAACAGAAGCAGGCGAAATTAAGCTGCTCGGTAGCGCGAAGAAAGCGGACAGTTAAAAGAGGCTAGAAATGACAACGGTAAGCATGCGTGAGCAGGATGTGCAGCGCTCATGGTGGGTAATTGACGCAGAAAACAAGACCTTAGGGCGACTGGCAACAGAAGTTGCGCGTCGTTTGCGAGGCAAGCACAAGCCTGAATACACGCCCCATGTGGACACTGGCGATTTCATCATCGTCATCAATGCAGCGAAAGTGCATGTCACAGGGAATAAAGAGCAGGATAAAGTATATTGGCGTCACAGCGGTTACCCTGGTGGTATTCGCGGCACAACTGTCGCTGATATGCGCGCAACTCACCCGGAGCGGATCATTGAGAAAGCGGTAAAAGGCATGTTGCCCCGCAATCCTCTGGGCCGTGCGATGTACAGAAAATTGAAAGTATATGCTGGCGCTGAGCACCCCCATGCAGCTCAACAGCCCGCAGTTCTAGAGCTTAATTAGTTGGAGCGCAGATGATGGCTAACACAAACTACGGTACAGGTCGTCGCAAGACTGCGGCTGCACGCGTTTTCATCGGTTCCGGCACCGGCAACATTACAGTCAATGCCAAA